GGAGAGCAGTCTGGGAGCCGAGAGGGAGCCATTGGGGAGCCGAGGAAGGCGAGGTGGAGCCGAGAGGAGGCCGAGAGGGGGCCGAGAGGGGGCCGAGAGGGGGCCGAGAGGGGGCCGAGAGGGGGCCGAGAGGGGGCCGAGAGGGGGCCGAGAGGGGGCCGAGGAAGCACCCACAGCAAAAGGTACACTACATCGAAAGGAGCAGGCGGCAGGACGGCCAGCAATGATATTCCAAATATATATCACAGAAAATGTACCATCATTATGAATGTTATTATTGTTATCATAATTATTCGTCATCATTGGTATTGCAACAACTATTATTGTTATCGCCATTATCATTATCATCACGATAGTAATGATAATGTCAAAAAATTAAATAACAGCATCTGTGGTACTGTTAATAATAGTAATATGATCTGCAACATTACTGTGATATCACTACTAGTACTACTGCTAATGATATTGCAAATCATGATAATCACGATAAAAATGGCACTGTTAATCATCATTATTAGCATTAGTGTCATGATAATTATTAACAGTATTATTGTTATTATTGCCATCATATGATCTACCTAATTCTTTTTTCTTTTTTTTTGGGCTGTAAGTTATCGTGTTTATTGCCATAAAACGTTCAATAAAAAAAAAAAAAAAACAGGCAACTCATCCCAGGATCTGGAGTACTTTGATTCGCCAAGTTTCTTTTGAGAGAAAAAAAAAGTGATGTTGCGAGCAGTAAATTTCATTAAAAAAAACTATTAGAAATATTGTTAGTTTTAAAATCGCAAACCATATGGAAATATATAAGTCTTACGTGTCAACTGATATAAATAAAAAAGAGATTTAGCGAATCGAACACTTCAGAATCTGAGACGAGTTGCCAGTTTTTCTTTTCCTGGAATTGGGTGCACTATGATAAAAATTGATTTATATGTAAAAAAAAAAAATGTTACTTATATATTTTTTTCTAATTTAGAGAGAAAAACTAAGATCATTAATATAAATGCCCGTGCAATATGATAGCGATGAGTGCAATATGATAGCGATGATTATGACGATGAGTATAATAATGATATTGATGATAGTGAAAATAATGATGATAATGAGGATAACGAAAACGGTTGTGATAGTGAGAATAATGATTATTAAGCAAATGATATAGGTAATGATGATGATGGAAATGGAGGTGATAAAGGTGGAGGTGATATATATATACATTGTGAGGAAAAGCAGAATAATATTGAAGATAATAACATTAGCCACGGATATTTTACAAACACACACACATGAATAGTATTGATATTAATAACGACAATGAAAACAGTTAAGATACTGAGAATAAGAACGATAATGATTGTGATAATGTTAATTATGATTATTAAATTTATGATATAGGTAATAATGGTGATAATAATGATGATTATGTTGATACAGATATTGATAACGGTGAAGATAGTGAGATATTGAAAAGAGAATAATATTGGCGATAATAATATCAACCCTGGGTATTTTACAAATACACACACAAACACACACATATATATATGTATGTTTGTATATTTATGTATATATATAGTAAACAATACAGACCAAGGCCGGATATATGTAAATGTAAGTAAGTTGAGGTTTCTGTTTTATAGCGATGCACAGGATGTTAAATGTGAGGAAATGTGAGCATGATTCTTGACTCGTAAGTCTAGGTGCAGCATTTATCATGGGAAATGTGCCATATAAAATTAAGCAGAGGACTGTTATAAATATTAGCACATGAAAATATCTTAGTAAATGTGTTTAAAACCAAATAAAGACAAAAAATGCTCGCGTGGGTCAATATTTACATTTGAGGATCACCGTAACGCTACAAACCGTTCCAGCGTTTTCTTTTTATCACATAATTTTTTTTTTCCTATATTTTTCCAAAGAGAACGCAAGGCCGCATGATAACATTATTTTAAAATCACATGGAAAATCCCCATTGCCTAGGGAATGATAAGCTGGACCTGGACAAAGAATCTTCTATCTGGCTCCGATAGCTCCCTTTAACACTCCCTGATTTGAGTCCGATTCAAGAGTCAGTCAGTGTTGGTGGAAACATGACCTTACGCGCGCCTGTAGCAAGACGGTGTATATCAGACACCCTGCTCTAATTTTTTGGCACTATAGGACATTACCAAATGTACTTGCGCCGTTTACTCTTGGCTTTGATAACCGAAAAGGTATTCGAATATGTAAAGCGTGACACACTCATATATGTGTGTGCGTGTGTTTGTGTTTGTGTGTGTGTGTGTGTGTGTGTGTGTGTGTGTGTGTGTGTGTGTGTGTGTGTGTGTGTGTGTGTGTGTGTGTGTGTGTGTGTGTGCGCGTGCGTGCGTGCGTGCGTGTATGTGTGCGTGCGTTTATGTGTGAATGTGTGCATGTGTGTGTGTGTGTGTGTGTGTGTGTGTGTGTGTGTGTGTGTGTGTGTGTGTGTGTGTGTGTGTGTGTGTGTGTGTGTGTGTGCGTATGTGTAAAACATGTATAACTGGATTTCATACACACACATACACGCGCGTGCGAGCATAATACATACATATAAATATATACTATATACATAATATATATGTATACATATATATTTATATTTACATATATATTACAAGAGGAAAAGGGAGAGCCGGGAGTGAAGAGAGAGAGAAGGGGGAGTGAGTGAAGGGGATGGTTAATGGTTAAAACAATTAAATGTGCTAGACATCGAAAGCCATATAGCACTATGGTAAAGAATTGTACCGAAAATGGTAAAGATGAGTTAGCGATCAGGATAAGTGGAAAGAAGGGAAGGAAAGGGGGGGGGGAGCCAAGCAAAATTAGTCGAGATGAGGGCTGAAGTCCAAGGCAGGGGTGATCTTCTACATTGGGCCTTAGTCTCTGTCTCCTACCCCCCCCCTCCCCCTCCCCCACGACAACAACGAGCAAGGGATTGGGGGGGGGGGGGAGCGGAGGCGAGGAAGATGTATGATTTGTAGACGTCACAACTACGCCACGCTTTACTTATTCGAATATCTTCTCTGTTGAAGGATACTAAGCTATAAAATTCAAGAGTAAACGCCATAATTAAGTACATGTGCATTATAGTACCAAAGATTAGGACAGGATGTGAAACATATTGTGTTATGGTGTCATACTGAAAACTTGACTGTCCGTTTGGAAAAATGATTGGGCAAGATCCCTGAAAGACATAGTCGTTTCATTAACATAAACATTTTTTCCGATGTTAAAGTTGTTCAAACAATTTGGTTTCTTGATGGTAATAGCAAACCTCATATTCGCGGAACCTTGCAGTATTTTTAAATGTTAAATGTAAGAGCATGGCAATGTATTTTTCGTTTTATAATCATAAAGGCCAGTTGTAGGCCTATGCAACTTTTGGAACTCCCTGCCAGTAAGTCGTCCTTGCCCGCATGTTTACACAACGCAGGCACAGGCGGCAATGACGTCAAAAGCAGAGAAACCACGAGAAAATCACTGAAATGGCCGTGTCCCATTGATGAGGTAATATTTATCGCATTGAGGCCCGACCTCGATTGTACCCGGTCTGGGAAAGATCATACCTGCTTAGAAACTACTCGTTCGTGTAACTAAACAATGGCATGAAGACCATCGCTTTTGACGTCACAACGCGTTTATTCCCACTCGTGCACTGCCCTTCATGAGGACAGTTCTTTAGGTACACCCTCAAAGAGTCCAAACAAGGATGTAAACAATAAAGGCACAGTAATACCATTTTCTACCAGTTTTCTATCTCGGTGTTAATACTGCCACCAAAATTAATACATTTCCATGTCAGTTTTTTGTAGCTATGTAATCATGTTTAGATCGCGATCTATATATTTACATTAGCATCTACATTTGTATAAACCCTCTTTTCCTAGAGAGAGAGAGAGAGAGAGAGAGAGAGAGAGAGAGAGAGAGAGAGAGAGAGAGAGAGAGAGAGAGAGAGAGAGCGAGAGAGAACGAGAGAGAACGAGAGAGAACGAGAGAGAGCGAGAGAGCGAGAGAGCAAGAGAGCAAGAGAGCAAGAGAGAGAGAGAGAGAGAGACAGAGAGAACGAGAGAGAAAGAGAGAGAGAGAGAGAGAGAGAGAGAGAGAGAGAGAGAGAGAGAGAGAGAGAGAGAGAGAGAGAGAGAGAGAGAGAGAGAGAGAGAGAGAGAGAGAGAATGAGATAGACAGACCGAGAGATAATGGAAGAGTGAGTTCTATACATGTATACATCATCTTTCCCAGAAATGCAAATACATGTATTTTTGTTTCATTCATCTTTAGCAACAGTACGTTTAGTTAGCTAATGGTTCATATTCAACATTTGCATCACTGTCCATTTATTCACACAAATGGTGTTTATAGTTTATAATCAAACTTGTTCTCCATTAAGCAATGTTAAGATTTTGAGCATCAAAGATTAGATTTTGAGCATCAAAGATTAGATTTTGAGCATCAAAGATTAGATTTTCTAGTATTCGTACTTTCGGGATGATGGTAAAATGTTAACCATCATGTTATAAATATCTGAATCAGATTCAGCTTATACCATGTCTGTTTCCTAGCAGATATAAAGCTAAACAGAAACTTGGGATAACAATCAAAAGGAACAGTACAGTCTGATTTCTCTACGGTTGATATATTCCATAACATTATGCAATTGACTGACATATATATATAGACCATATGCAGAAGTCTTGGACTGGGCGGGGTACACCATGCAAAATTTTTCAAAAGAGACTGCAGTATAGACAAGCATTGCCTTTTCTATACTTAGCTGTTGCTGCTACTAAAATATTACGATGCTTGTGAGCATTACATGATGAATTGCTAGCAAGTGGGTTTTAGGCATTATAAAGCCCTGTTAGCTCTCCATCAGCATGTCCATTTGCAAGTTCATATCCACACATGGTGTTCGGTATCGAGTTTTATCAGTCACATAATGATTTGAGATACATCTAACATATACAACATTAGTTAACTGCATATTGAGCTGTGTTTGTTGTTTTTGTTATGGTTTGATGTATGTCTACTGAAAAAAAATATTTTGATAACTTTATTTAATTATTTGTTAAAATATAATTGTATCATTGTAAAACTTATGTCTGATTATAAAATCTGAACACAGAATAAATTTATAGTAAAAAACATTGTATATGAACCAATGAGCTACTTAGCTTTGGTACAAGGCTGTGACTCTGTTACTATAGTGTAGTGCCTATAGTAAGGAAAGTACTGCATTTTAAACTAGTAAAGCAACTAGAGGATATACAATGAATAAACTAAGAATGCACCTGAATAATCTGCAAAATAGTAATGAAACTAAATCCAGCATTTCTTGGGAAATAGGGTTGAGAGATTACAAATGTAAGAACTGCAATTAAAAACCGTATTCGTTTACCAAAGCAAAAGAAATATTACTTCACACTAATACTGTACTATGCTCTACTGGCTAATTATATTTATTCCCTTTCATTTATAATTTTCTACCATAAAATCCATTATTCTAATCAATCACATTCCTGTATGACATGTTACGGTGTTTTGAGAGGTCAGGTTTTTTTTTTACGGTAATTCTTATGCTTTCTTTTGGCACTTTTTTTTGAGTCATTTCCACATTAATGAAATTTGATGATCAATTTCAGGGTAGGTATCTGCTATTGTTTTCAATTTCAATAAACGTAATATCACTGAAGCATATATGAGTGTAAAATGTACCATAAAAGGCAATTTTACATATGAAGCTAGGCTATAAATCTAGTTTATTCAAGGTTTATGATAGGCCAAAATTATGATAAAAAGACTTATGTATTAATGCATAATATATACAAACTATATTTGGTAGACACATCAGTATGTACAAATAAATTAAGTATTATACATAATATTAATGAACTGTAAATCTAGAGATACACATTATATAAACCAGTGATAATAGTAAAAAAAAGAAAGAAAAGAAAAAAAAAAAATTGAAAAAAGAAAACCAAGAAAAAAATGAGAAGAAATATTGTCTCATGTGAGGACACTCGTTGAGGACTGAAGCCTGGAGCTCGATGCTCGTAACAGCTAAACCCTTGGTCAAGAGGCAAACCCTAAAAGGGGGGAGGCTGTCAGGGCAAGCCACTCCAGGGGTAACATCGCTCCCACCACCTGGGATTCCTCTGTGTTTACGGATGGAGGTGAGGGAGGATGGCTGTAAGGGAGCCTGACATCTGCTAGAAGGGGCACTAGATGGAAAATACGAGAAAAATAAATAAATAAATTTAAAGTAAATTATATTCAGGTATAACAAATACAGAAATACAAGATATACTGAAAATACATATCAACAGCACAATACCAGAACAACAGATGTTGAAGATGAAAGATAAAGGATAAAAAGACAAAAAAAATTAAAGATTATTTCACACATAAACAAAAAGTGTCATAAATGTCTATTGCAAACTAACAAGATATAAAGAACCTGTTGCATGCTACAATAAGAGAAAAATGACAGTGACAACCACTATAATGAGATGATAACAATAAATAAAATATTTGATAATAAAAATATCATATTTTACTAACAATAATAACTAATATTATCATTAAGTAACTAGTAACTATCCTAAAAAAAATAATTAATACATATCAATAATGACAAAATTTCCAGCAATAATGAAATAATACTATCAATTATGTTCATCATCATCATCATCATAATAATAATAACAATAACAACCATCATCATAATAACCATAATAATAATAATAGTAATAATAATAACAATAATAATAATAACAGTGTGAATAATAAATCATAAGCATCACAATAGTTAATTATAATAAAATCATAGAAATATTTAATAATAATTATAATAAAAATAATGATAATTATAGCAATAATAATAATAATAATATAATAATAATAATAATAATAATAATAATAATATCAACAATAATAAAAATAGTAGTTAAAACAACCAATACATAGTATGTATTATACCCAAAATCACAGGTACAAAGTCACAAAATAAATTACAGTATAGTTTATAGCTAAGAGACATAGCCCAGGTACAATGATTCAGTGAGGTGGGGGATTACCTCAGTTAACCAGTGCATCTGGGGGTTTTTATGATGTTAGTAGAGCCCTCAAAGAGAATTGGGGGAACACTTTGAGGGTTTCACCAAGCTTGAAGAGAAGAGAACACAAGATTACTTTTGATGCCAAGCCCCTTTGTCAACTACTCCAGGCAATACAGCCTTCAACAGTCAAAACTAGACAGCAGGACAAGTCACACAGAAACAGTTATGGTGGTCAGGAAGGAAAGTTCCACACTCCTATCTACATAGATAAGGTGGAAGCCTTAAACCTGATACCAACACAAAATTTGTTCCCTAGAGTCTCTCCTGCACCATCATCTTTAAGAGAAAAAGCTGAAGACAGACTCCACACATACATAAACACCTACTACAAGAAAAAAGCTTGGCATATAAAACACCGAGCAGCAACAAGGATACAGCAACAACCCTACCTAATGAGGAGCCCGTGAATGAGGAACCCGTGTCTTGGTTAAGGACTCAAGGGTAAAAACATCTGAGGAAATTAATGTGAAGAATGGCATAAAAAAAAATCCAGCCTGGACCCTTTGAGACAGCACTTTTTTAAATACAAATTATAAACTCGTGAAATCAAATGGAACGTGAAATATCTTATGAAGAGATAAACTTCAATAGCCAGGTTAATACAGTCTGAACTTCTCATTGGGAAAGTACATAAACATTTCCACAAACATGTTATGCTGCAGAATATTAACAGAAACCTGCAATATACAAGTTCTGTTTTCTTTTGATGTCACAATTACAAGTTTAGAGATGGATGTCAATCAGATCTGTCATCCACTGGTTTCATGTATACTAAAAACAAGATCTGATTCACAACTATCCTCAAGCTTGTGTCAGAAAACTAAGAAAAATATCTAACAAATAAGTATCCATTTGTGTTATCAATTAACCTGGAAAAAAGAAGAGAAAATGAACATGTATTTGAGGTCATGAGGTCAGGACAGAGGTATAGGATGGAACAAGGTATACTGGTACAAGGTATTAGCCTTGAGCTTCTGACAAGGACCAAAGATGAAGGGATCAGAGAAGGCTGTGGTGGTCCTACAATTATAGTTACTGGGAAATGGGGATGAAGGGTGCTATTCTAAGTTCAGATATAGAAAGGCTTTTGGAGGGGAGAATGGCTTGGAGGAGGACTGGAGAGGAAGAGAAAATGTGCAGTTGAAATGCTAAAGTAAACATCGACTTGCAAATATAATGTAATAATACTTTAGTGGATCCTTTAGAACACATCCTGAATGAAAGTGTCATGAAGGAAAACTGTTCATCAGTCTCCACCAAAAAAGCACATGATGCATATGAAAACACTAAGATAGAAGAGCATACAAGTACAGGAAAAACTTGGTAACTCCAACTGTGGATCTGTGGCAACAAACTGTAAAGCAATACAATCACTCAATACATTCTTCATCCAAAGCTTCTGTAAGGAAAATACAGGTTGGAATGAATAAACAGTATATAAATCAGTAGATGAAATTACCAAGATTCAACTGTATTACAAATATTACAAACAGGACAATAACACAGCGAAAACTGGACTTTGAAGAGTGCATAAATAGTTTCAGTAGCCATTTAGAGGCTAATTTATCAATGACGCTTATCATAATGACTTGAATTCAAACTCTATCACTTGTTAAACATATCTCATTTACAAATAATAAAATGAAACTAAACAATATTGTAACAGCATTGACAATGCTTAATAAGGTGCTGTGCATTTACACTGAAATACAATTGACATGTAATTTTTCTTTATTTATCAAGATATTAATGGATCTTTGGATGCAGACCACTGATGTTGGTGGACTCTGTTGCATTTGGAACACTACAAATCAACTTGAGTTTTACCAGACAAGAAAGTTTGGCCTCTTGTCATGACTTCTACTGGCCATGGCTTGGTGACCTTGCCCACTGTCTTGGTAGTACCTCTGTCTGCTCCTTCATAGACAGTGCCAATCATATGCATAATTGACATAATTTTTCTTGACAAGTTATTAGTTCTCAAGTGGGGCCTCTCTGATGGCAAAACAAACTTCATAGTCAATTTATACAAGTTAAATGCTCAAAATAATGTCAGCATTACTGCTGACTGGCCTATGGATTTTCCATCTTGTGTAGACCTATTAAGTCTATCCACCCACTGGTTCTTCAAGGTCAATCAAAATTAAACTGGAGTACAACTCCTTTCATCACATACATGATATGACAAGCAATCATCAACATATTGCAGGTCTTGACAAAGTACATTTGGCCAAATTCTGAAACGCTGTAGTGACACACTCTGGACAATTAAATGGTGAAGTGCTTAATGCCCTGTGAATGTTCTTCATCTCTTTATCTGTTTTACCACAACTTGCCTATTGGTGTTTCAGAATCTGTTCTACTTCTACTTCACAACACAAATAATTACCTCACTGAAGTCCTGCGCAAGGTCCATGAGTGCTTATCAAAAAATGTATAAATATAGCTTGATCTACTGCAGGAAACTCTCTAGTGTACATTGGCTGACTAGAAAATGTTGGACTTGTATTATTAACTAGTAAGTTTAAAGTTGTTTCAATCTGGAAACCATTTTACAAAGACTTCTTCCTAGTTTTAAACTTTCTGATCTCAGTCACTACCCGACTGCTTCGTATTCCTTATAAATATTTTTTGTTTCATTCTAATGCATGCATATTAATTTCATATTCAAGTTTCCATCAATAAATTAAAACAACACTATAATTTAGACTAAACAGCTTGAATAGAAAGGATTCATATAATAGACTACATTATCAAGAATACATGCTTACTCTGTGTTGATACCAAGCATTCTTGTACTGGAAGGGTTCTTTTAAAGTACATTATGAATAAATAACATGATATCATCTTCCCAATTAACAGAATTTCCATTAGTATGAGAAAAAATACTTATTACATACTTATTACAGTTTCTCATTTCTTCCCTTTTAAGTCTTACTTTCAAGATTCATTATACAGATTTTACAAACATAAAGTAGTAAGCAGCAAAATTGCAGAGCAAAATTGAGCACAAAATCTAATTTCCTAACAGAAAACAAAAGTGACACTTTTGTCACCCACCACTAGTAGTAAAAACTGCAGAAGGTTTGTGCTTCTACATCCTATCTGCATGTTCTCTAAGGACAAACATATTTGGAAAAATGCTTATCCTAACACCATCCAATCCCAAATCAGTGTTGTGCACACTTGCTGCATTCACTTTTGGCTGCTTTAAAATTCATTGGAACAAAGTAAGACAACAAAGAAAATAAGAAACACATCAGAAAAAAATTAAAAGTCTGAATATTGCAGCACAAGGTGACTTACTCTCCAAATTCAACCACAGTTGCATCATGTCTTCACGACTTGAAATCCGATGTCTACAAGACGCTCTCTGCAGAACGTGAGAGGTGGATAGGATGGGAAGGGGAGCGGTGGAGCCGCTTCTTGGGAAGCCTTGTCAAGCTGTTCAACATGGTGGAGAACTCTGGCCTTTCATCCGGCCGGTAACTCCAGCAGGCCATGAGTATGTCCTATGGGATGGAAAAATAAATATCGCAAAATAAATAATGCAATATTAAACTCAAATAAACAAACATAGCCACAGGCAGGCAGCCTCTCCCCCCTACACACACAAAAGTAAATATGTATGTATATCTAAATTGACTAATCAACAATAATAACACCAATGATGATAACATACTAAAGGACATTTACTACTATAATAACTATTAATCCAGTGCCTCCAGGCCAGCTAAAATGTCAAAAGGTTTAAAAACTCTGGGACGGTATTGTCACATGCCAAGTGTGGGTAACCAGCACCCATGTTGTTATCCAATAAATTCCTGGTTTGTGATTGATTGAGACATATATGAAATAAAAAAGGCCTTGGTGCTAGTTTTCAGTCTATATTCTGTAAAAGTATCCAGGCAGCAAGGTAAAAAGTCCAAATCAAAGAAGGCCTATAAACTGTGATTGCATCCCCACCCAGATAGTCATCTACAGCTTTGTATAACAAACATACCTTGCAAAGGGAAAGGGTTCGATATTTAATGTAATCTATTCATAAATGTAGGTGCAAAAGGATTGAGTTGGCTTTATCTTTAAAACAATTGCTTTAATCTATGCTAACATACTATACTATATGAAATTTACAATTCTGTTATTCTAAATAGATGGCGACTTAACCCAATTGGTGCAGATGGCAAGAATACATGCCATACCCACTGTAATATGAGTTCATCAAATTCTTTTATTTTTGTAAAATGCAAGTGTCCAACTAAACACCTAAATCTCATACCATCACAATCCACAAAGTTCTTACCTTAACATCCCGTGAAGCCTGTAGATGTGCCAAGGAAGGCTTCATTCCACGTCCAACCTGCCATATTATGGCCTCAGGAGGAAGGCCTTTATGGGGCCATTCACCACATAATAATTCATACCACACAGTACTGGAAAGACAATTTATCCATCTTATTTTTTGTTACCATGTACATCAAAAAGATATGTCTGCTGCACTTGAGGAATTCACATTTCAGAATTATCGAACATAATATCCTATACCAATGAAGATCATTTTATTCTGTACATGAATTCCAGATATAAAGAGAGTATGTTCTTAAGCTCATAAAGAAACATTTTACTAAATTCAACTATTATAAAAAGAAAATTCTTCATTCACTTAAATCTTCTTCTTCACTCACTCACTCACTCACTCACTCACTCACTCACTCACACACTCACACACTCACTCACACACTCACTCACACACTCACTCACTCAAGCCACACACACAACTCTCTCCACACTCACTCACTCACACACTCACACACTCACTCACACACACACTCACTCACTCACACACTCACTCACTCAAGCCACACACACTAACTCTCTCCACACTCACTCCACTCACTCCATGCACCCACGCCATGCACCCACGCCAAGCACGCACGCACGCACGCACACACACGCACGCACACACACACGCACACACACACATACACATGCACACACACATGCACACACACACGCACACACACACGCACGCACACACACGCGCGCACACACACGCACACACACACACGCACACACACTACACACACACACACTACACACACACACTACACACACACACTACACACACACACACACACACTCACACTACACACACACACACACACTACACACTACACACTACACACTACACACTACACACTACACACACACACACACACACACACTACACACACACACACACTACACACACACACACACACACACACTACACACACACACACACTACACACACACACACACTACACACACACACACACTACACACACACACACACTACACACACACCTACCCCACGCA